AATAGTTATAAAGACACCACGAAAACAACCAACTTAGAGCGATTACTATCATTGTAATATCTATTTCACGGGTTGTGAACAGTCATTATTTGTATTATTTTACGATATACAGACAGCGAGAAGATAAACTACACAAGAATGAACGGGTCAAACATATCACTCGCCAACGTCTCTAACATCAGTACGGTTAACACCTACTGCAAGTATAGGGAACCTGACTCCGATGTCGAGAAAATTGCCAAACGCTCTGCCTCAGTACTGGTCATTGTACTGGGGATTTCTCTCAACATCTTCGTCATCATTCTCGCTGCTAAATACACAGCACGCAAGAACCTGCATCATTTGATCATCAACATGGCCGTCTCAGATGCTCTATATCTCTTGGTGATGTTATTGTCCAATGTCCCTTGGCTGTCTGACTTTAAATGGAGCATATATCCCCGCAGTACCCTGGGCGTCATATTCTGTAAACCTATAGTGTTTCTGATACACATCTCGTATAGGGTATCATTAGTTACTCTATTAGTAATCAGTATTCAACGATTCAGAGCAACAACAACAACCTTGAAAAGAAGGAGACCATACACACTGAAACAACGTATGGCAATAATTGCTGTCACTTGGTTGATCTCCATGACAATCCCTGCCCTTTACGCGTATAAGGCAAGGGTACGTGGCCAATTATGTAATTTCAGGTATAGCGATATTCTGAATAACAGAGTAATTTTCTTTGTTACCCTATTTGAAAGTGCTATTCTGGTTATCCTCTGTTGTGCCATAGTCATTCTAAGTATTTTAACAATAAGACGTTTAAACAAACCACAAGGTATCCAAAATCACCTTAGTGAAGAACAACGAAACCTACGAGCACGTCGTACTCGGGTAGCCGTAAGAATGGTTCTCGCCTCTACATTACTGTATACATGTTGCTGGTTTCCCAACTTAGTTATTGCCGCTGTGCTGTTGATCAACCAAATCTTCCCGTCAGCTGATACAACGAATTCCTCACTTTGTATTGACTGGCCATCATTGTACTTTATCATTGATTATTTCCTACCTGTGGTCAACTCCTGTTTGAGTCCTTGCGTCTATCTTATATTTCTTTCTGATTTTCGTGACGCAGCCAAGAAGATACTCTGCCGAAAACAGGCAATAAACCGGGAAGTAAACAACCCCATCGAACTGCAACYGATGAATCCAGTGTGTAACAGAAGGAGAGGGAGAAGAAGGTCTGATGAAGATCGGGACATTTAAACTGACTTTGAACAATGTCTACATACAAAACGTATCTCAGTAATCTTGAATTAAGTTGTACTATAAAGGATATTGCAGTAAAAAAACGTTTTTAATTTAGGTACATTCACGTTGTTTCCTATCGATGTACATGTACTATTTAACAATTAGACCTCGAGGTCGAGTGGACTACGAGCTAATAGCCCATGAGGCCGAGTCCGCGAGGACGAATGGGCTATTAGCTCGTAGTNATTCAAAGACCGTTCTTACGTATCGTTTACGAAGCTGAACGACTTTCTCATCGTTACGAACGCTGCACTAAAACTGAACTTCAATCAAGTATTCGTCTTGTCCTGTCACCTTCCCTTGCAAAGGCATGTCTTCAAGTCGCGTCGAAAGCATTTTTACTTTATACTTCCACAACCGAGAGGTTTTACGATAGTTCTAAGCGTATACGTAGTGGTCTTACGTTTCCCGTAGGACGGTTTTTTGGGTGGCTCGTAAACGCAAAGGTTGCGCAACGAGTTTACGATTCAGCGGCGATCTATTTGGCGGCTACGTTGGARTACATTGCGGAGGAGACAGTGTTCAGGGCTGTTGTGCGTATAAAAGGTTAGTTRACACTTTACCAGTAAATGACCAGGAAACCAGGGAGTGTAGGTTGTGTTGGTTCTGCTGCACTACAGTTCTCTGGACCAGCGAACCAGAGGTAGCTTATGATCTAAAGTCCTGCTAATCCACTCAGTGACACATTTGAAACGCAGATCCACCCCCTCCCCTCTAGGGGCACTAGGCAGGCTACTAAGGTCATAGTGTATTTCCAGGTACAGTTGATCATATGACTCCCGATATGGTTGAAGACGTCATCAACTCGGACCCAGACCTCTGGTGTTTGTTYCAGCCTTACGTTCATTTACTGTCCGGTCGGACATTGTTTGGTTTGATTGACACATTGGATGTTTATGCTATACAAAGTAATGGTATTTGCATAGGCCGCTCAACTATTGCTTGAGTGAAAAGAAACGACGTTGTACCATAGGTAATCCGCATCCTGCTGAGAGCGCGCTCGATAACATAAAAGACAAAGCTTGCGTATTCGTTCTTTCCTTTCACTCAAGCAATAGTTGGGCGGCCTATGGTATTTGTACGTATAGTTTAAAACACGAGAGAGAGTGTTTTATCAGGTATAAAGATTCGAGCCGAAGGCGAGAATCTTTATACCTGATAAAACACGATCTCGAGTGTTTTAAACGGCTTAAAAAACTCCAACACTAATTTGAAACTCAAACCCGTTAAAATTCTTGGAGAAATTGCCGTACAAATATGTTCAGAGATAAATGGGGCAAACTGATCATGCGCGAATCACTTTACAAAGCACTCTTGTCATCCCACATTGAATACGCATAAAGTAAAATAGAACCGCTCTTGGCTGTTCACTGAAATCGGTTGACATCCTGCATTGGTCAATGATCAGGTTTCAAACCTGAGACCTTTGCTAGGGTCATGGACCTTTATATCTGATAAAGGTCACCCTTATTAGTATTCTTTATATAAAGAATACTAATAAGGAGTGTTTTATCAGATATAAAGGTCCATGCATGTGACCAAATAGGCTCATTCTATTGGCCTAGTAGCTCATTAATTATGTATGA